GGCCCCCCCCCCCCCCCCCCCCCCCCCCCAAACCAGCGGTCACTAGGGAGCTTCCCAGCCCCCTTGAGCTAGCCCGTATAGTCGCAGCTGATGTTTCTCCTATGCACAAACAACGTGTTTGTTCGGCGCTTCTTCAATTTCCGTGTATGGGGATCCTTGACCAATACCATGGAGAGCTGATTTCTAATTCCCAACAACAACCCCCCCACCCCACCCCCTTCCCTGCCCCGAGCAGGTACGAAGCGTACGAGAACTACGTGTCAACCTCCGTCTCGACCTCCCTCACGTCCATCAAGGGAGTGCTAGGTGCCGTCAAGACGAGGGCCAAGTCGGCCGTGGGGCTAGGGGCAGGGCCCGCCCCCATCGCGGTAGAGCCGGACCCCCTGTATGAGGCCGAGGTGGCTCGCATCGAGGAGCTGGTGGCGCCGGTTGCCGGGTGAGCGTACAGGGGGTTAATTGCCGAGGTCCAACAGTTGAAGGACGCCGGTTGCACCTTTGTTGGACGTGCAGCGTATCCACTATGCGTCAGCCGCTGACTTGCGGTATCGCGGATATGCTGTACGTCTCACAACGCGCGTCTGTTTTGTTGAGAGAACGGTGTCGAGGCAGGGGCAGCAGTGGAGGTGATCGCCAGGGTTGAGGGCGTCTGTTTTGTTGGCGAGGCAGCAGTAGCCGTGTGTTCCGCCCAATTCATGTTGGTGGAGCAACCCGAGGTATTTCAGCCTGTCGGTATCTCAAGCTCTGTCGATCATTGCCTCCATTGATCAACAGCACTCCAAGTTGTATCTGCTGCATCGATCGAAAGACCCTGATGTTTCAGTCAAAAGGCGGCAGGGAACCGCTTATCAATCAATGCCCACCACAGCAGTGAAAACTGAAGGCTTGTTCGCAACGCACTTGGTTTGCCAATCGCTAGCTGCTGCCTCGTTGTCGTTGTTGTTCCTTGCACCCTCTCGCTAATCATCAGGTCTGTGAAGATCATGGAATCCGCTGCCGTGCTAAAGCGCGGTGTTGGGTATGAGATGTCCCGGCTAGGCCACTACCTTACCCAGGTGGGTCACGATTACGCGGCAGGGCTCAAGAGACCCGGAAGCATCCGACCGTAGTGCAGTGATAACCAAAGTTGGGAGGTTGATGATGAGACGGCACATCACCTACCGCGACCTCTTATTGCACTCTTGTCCTTGTATCGGATGGTATGGTGGCACCATGAAACGTTGCGCGCGAAGTATACGTATGCCCAGGCGCACCTTCAACGCCGCAATTTCTTTAGTGCCAACCCTATGTACCACCACATCAAGCACCGTGAATACCAACACGAAGTCTGCTCCTCTCCCCTTATCAACAGGTAGCCTCCCTCGAAGACACAGATAGCCTTTCCGCCGGGGTCTCCGCGGATGAAATAGACGCCCCCGCCGCCGCCGCCGCCGCTGGGGAAGGCGAGGAACTAGGCGGAGGGATTAGCTCGAGGCACGGGCGCGGGGGCGGCAGGGGGGGGGGCTGGGCGAAGGCCGAGCAGGTGCTGGGTCAACGGATGGAGAAGTTGGCGACGGCGTGGCTAGGGGCTATCGACCAGGTGGGGGGCGTCGGGGATTGGGTAGGGATGGGGTAGGGTAGGGTAGGATAGGCTGCAACACCGTACGCAAAGCAGTGGCATGAGAACATCGTGCTATAATAGGGAGGGAAGTCTCGTTGTTTTTGCCTTCCGTCCGTTGTTGATGCCCCGCCCCGTCGGTCCTGTGGAAACAATGCTCCGGAGGACGCGTGGTCAATGGTCTAACCGCTAAGGCATGCAAAACATGAGATTACGCCCCCCCCCTCCGATGACCACTCTGCGTGCCCCCCTCCCCTCGCCACCCCGTCCTTCAGGAGGAATGCGACTTCCTTGACCCCCTGCGGGAACAGCTGGGGTATCTCGGATCCGCTAAGGAAGTCCACCGCGGCAGGGGAAGAGCTCTCGATGCCCTGCAGGTTGGAACTGCTGTAGCGGTTGTTGGATGAACAAGATCACGATTTTTCCCTTCCACAGTGGATGTATATGCGACGAATCAGGTAGCGCCACGATGAGAGCGTGAGCTGTGCACACGGCATCCTGCCCGTGCTCCCACACGAGGATGGCGTGTTATCCTTGAACGCATTCCCTCTTCTCCTATCGTATCGTAGTTCTTGGCGTTCCCCCACAGCGGAAGCGTCTTGTCGCCCTTCCCCCGTCGTACTGTAGCTCTTGATGTTTCCCCACGATACAGTACCCTTGACGAGTTGTCGCTGCACCGCGGCGCGAGCCCCAACGCAGCAACACCCTCATTCAATCCCCAACTCTTTTTTCCCCGCCACAAACCGACGCCTCAACTCGAATACCGCACGAGCAAAGGCCGGGAACGCATCCCTTCAGAGGAACAAGCAGCGTCTGCACGCGGCGAGGGCGCAGGGGGACGCCCACATGGCCTCGGTGTCCATGGGCAAGATGGAAGCGGTGAGCGATGAAGTCCAGGTGGTTGACCTCTGAACTGGTTGTTGGTTGGGCTCGGTGATGTGTCCCGTCCCGGGAGAGGGTATCCCGTTACCCGGAAGAGGGCTTCCCGTTCCGGAAGATAATATCCGGTACCGGAAGAGGGTACAGTATCCGGTACCGAAAGAGGGTATCCCGTCCCGGGAGATGGTATCCCGTCCCGGAAGAGGGTGTTCACATGGAACCGATTTTTGAAGGTTGGTGGTGCGGGAGAACAAAGTCGGGGGAACCAGTGATCACTTCGAACAAGCGGGAGTTCATGACTGCAAGGTGTAGGTGTTGGTTTTCGCAGCGAAGACGCCATGGCGCGAAAATGTCGTCGTTTACGTTTACGTCCACAACTGTTTATCAATATGCGATTTTTTTGTGGGCGCCATGTGTGTTGGGCTACAACGCACGTACGGCCGGCAGGCGGAGGAGCGGATGACCGGTGCCCACACCCGAGCTGGCCAAATCGCCAAGACCTTCAAGGGCGAGGTAAGGGTAATGATGATCTCTACGCACGTGTGATCATTCCATCCGTTCTTCCCCCCTACCTGTTTTGGCGTCATACTCTCTTGTCCATGTACTGCACTTGAGCCGGCGCCACGCAGAATGCCTAGTATCTCCTGACCCCCCCCCCCCCGCGCTGTACACACACATTCACACACCTCCATCCTCGGGGGTACGTACACATGAGGAGTCGAGTCTTTCGAATGGGCGAACGACATCGTGTTGTACCCGTTGGATCTTGCACGAAATAGTTTCGAAGGACTTTACTTTTGAGGGGGGGCGGCGACGGTCATGACTTGGAAGGGTGATCTGTGAACAGCGAAGGACCGATTGGCTCTCCAAGTGGTGCTGTGCCTCATGCAACTATTCGGAGACTGCGAGCTGCATGCACATGGTTGAAGAAGCAGTGTTAAGTTTTCACGCTCACATCTTCCTTGTCCCATGAAACCGTGCACATACGAGTCGACTTGCCTCTCACTCCCCTCGCCTTGCTGCTTCCCGTCCCGCACCCTGTTTGGTCCTGATACACCGCCGTTGAAGGCGAAGCGGTTTCATGAGTGTCGGAGGACAGAAGGGGTTTTGGCTGTACTGGAGCTTTCACGGGCGCAAGCGCACTTCGCCCACAAGGCCAATGCCGCTTGGAAGCAGGTGGGGCGGGGTTCCGTTTTGCTAGACTTGGCGCACGAAGGCTAAGATTTGTTCCGTTTGGCCTACAGGAGAGACCGCGAGTGGGATAATATGCCCGCAGCCTCAAAAAGTGTTGCAGGTCGTCTTTCCACCCTCACGCAAAGACCCAGGTCGGCTTTTCCAAGGGCCTGTTTTTTTGTTTGATTATGCCCGCATGCGGGTTTTGGTTTGAGCATTGTAAAACGCAATACAGTGAGGGACCGTCAGTAGGGCCCTCCCAGACTCTCTGCTCACCCAGAGTAGAGGGCTTCCATATTGGTGTGGTGGCTATGTCCTGCTACCGGAGGTTGGCTATTTCCTCGGTGTGGAGCAGACCATTACACCGGTACTGTTCAGAAGGACCGGCACTATTCAAACTACAGAATTGCTTGGAGATTAGTCTGTGCCCGCCCAAAGTACGGCACTATTCCGGGCGTCGGCACTACAGTATTCAACCGGCACTACTGACGGCCCCTATCTGTGTTTTCTGCCAAAATTGTGGCACAGATCGCGCGGTGTTTATTCGCCACCCAGGTCGGCTTTCCCGCGGGCCTTTTTTTTCGTTTGATCGTGCCCGCATGATATTTTGATCGAGCACGCAACGTTTTCTGCCAAAATTCAATCGGTGCGCCTTTGTGGCGCTGAACGTCGCGTTTGTTCGAGACGGCGAAGTTGTCGGGTACCTTGGATGTGCTCAAGCATTGAGTCAGTGTGGATAGCGATGGCCAAAAGTACGGCAGTCAGCGAAACACAGGTCTTTGTGTTTTCTCGTCTCCGAACTCGAAGGAACGGTGTTTTTCGGTTCCCTGAAAAGTGCAGACGCCGATTAAGTAGTAAGCGCTGCAATAGTAGTCGCTTATAGGATGCCATGGACGGACAGGCACGGTGCTCCCGCCGTGTCACCTGTAATGTCGACATGACTTGGCGCCGCAGACGATGATGACCAGTTCCTGGGCCATCCTTGCGATGTGATAGGCTGGGCCGGCGAAATCGCTCCTTCCCGGCATTGTAGGGATACGAGGAAGCATATGGTCTTCTGCCAGCTACGTCATGCGTTTACATGAGTACTGTACGGATGGCAATTCAAATGGTCTAACGACTACGGCATGCGTTTACATGAGTACACCCTCCCCCTTGCCATTTCTCAGGTCCTAGAGGACATCAACCCCACCGACGATGAGCTGAGAGAGTCCCAGCACCGCGTGCGGCTCCCCAAGCGAGAGCCGACGATAGGAGGAGGAGGCAGGAGCGGCGGCGGCGGCGGCGTTAGCACCACCTCCACCACGACCGCGGGCGTGATTGGCGGCTGGCTAGGCGCCGCCGCCACGGTCGGCCTGAGCACGGCCA